CTTTGAAAACCTGTAGCTTTGAAAACCTTAAAACAAACATGAGATGTAATCTGCTAAACCAGGATGCAAAGAGAAATTATTCTAATCCTCCTCCTTCTGCTGTTTCAAGAAGGCCTCCTCCTGTTCTCACCAGGTAAGTTTGATGCAATTGGACTGTGCTCCCAATGCTCTGTCTCCTCCTCACCCTGGTGGAGCTCCTGCTCCATTCCACTGCTTCCACTCAGAGGAGCACCAGAAGAGCAGCTTTCACTCTTCCCAGCCTTTTGCCCTGTGCATTTACATGCTGTCCCATTCCCAAAATTCCTCTTTAGTTTCTAAACTTTCCCAACTTTTGTAACACTCAGATCATCCCTAATCTACATAAAAATATAGCTTGCCATAATTATCTTCCTATCCCATCTCTCTAAGCCACCAGCTCTACTAAATCCTTTCATCTACTTAACTTTTTTTTTTCCTGGGCAATAATAATCTAGTCCTTACCTTCAACGCTCTTTGCATATTTCTCTCATCTCTCAGATGTCTCCTTCTAACTGGATGACTTAACAGCTTCTACCATACTCAAAGACTCTGCAAGCAGCATATACAACTATTACATATTAGCTAATCATGTAATCAGCATATAGATAGGACTAACACATTGCCAAGCTGAGAATTTAGGTACTTAGCCCCTTGATGTAGGCATATCACACATCTCTTCTGGCTTTGCAATCATGAGACAGACACATGGAGCAAGGCTGCCTCCCATTACTCCTTGGAACAGGCTGATATTCAGTATTTTTAATTGCTATCTTCTAACTCTCCAAAACTAATCTTTCGCCTCATGCCTCAATTTGAACTTTTCTCATCTCTGAGTTGTCATTACTATCTTAGAAAAACAAAACAATTGTAATTGTTTTATTACATGGCTTTACAACACATACTCTCAGCTCAGCGACTTTTTCAGCAAAAGCTAAACACAGAACTTGCATCTGTGCTTCATAAACAAGCCTTGGACAGCTGAACCCTGGAGAAGGATTTACACTTACTTACATGTGCTTTTCAACTGCCCATCTCTGCTTTGCTCATGTCATTGGCCTTCAAGCATTTGTCTACCTTTCTCTCCAACATCTCCCTCACGTTTAGGGCATGCCCCTTTCTAAATCCTTACCACCACTACCACTCCCTCCAAACAGACCATTTCTTGTGGGTATTCTACTGGAGCAAACTAGCTTCAGCAAAAGACAAATTTTTTCTTCTTCACGGAGGACCAGCAACTTGCAGATTTACAGTTGATCTACAAACATTTTTACATAAACCCATTTTCCAAAGACTAGGCAGTACTCCTCAAAATGCTAACCATAACCCAAGGTCTTAAACAGCTAACTGATCACCTTTGGACCTTGGTTTTATTGAGAATTTGGCTGAGGATGTTCTAAGCACACACTGCCAGATTGAGACACACCATCTTCTCTGCTAGTATTTGTTATCCTTGTTTAGGGAACAATCAAAGCCTACTTGAAAACAGAATGAAACTATGAAACTTCAAATAGACATGTCCTGGTCTGCACCTAAATGCCCCTCTCACTCAATACCATAAATGTCTTCTGAACACATTGTCAACACTACAGGGGAACTGCAAGTTCTCTGTTTAGTTGTTCATCATCTTCAGATTATTTAATGCCTGCATAGCATTGTGTTAGCCAATAACAGCATCAAGTCTCTTCAGTAAAAGCACAGTTCCCTGTCTATTCATCACAAAGTATTACAGCCCAGCACCTATTTCTAAAGCTTAAAACCATACCCACAAATGAATCTATCTGATGTCCTCTGAAACTAATCCCCCTACAAAACAATAAAAGAATTCTGCCAGGAAGAAATCTCACTTAATATTTATCTTTTTTTTTTTTTTACCCCTCCCAAAGAATGGGAATTCTGTAGCAGATGCACTGTTATGGAAAGTTACTGAGAGGGTTCCCTCCCTTCTACTCACTGTTTTCCTTGTTTTTACTGTCTGATTTCAGTTGAGCAAGACCACACATCTGACACTTTTTCCTGGTCCATTCAAATTTCCAGAGTGTCCGTTCAGTTGGACATGACTTTTGAGGCTCCTGTCTTCATCCACATGCCAGTTCCTGGCATCACCTCATCGTAACTTTAAGGCTTTAGCCTCTTACAGCTGAGAATAAAATAAATTTCTCTTTAATTTAATCAAAGTCAAAGAAATTATAAGTGATTTGTAACTAAGATATTAGAAAGAAACTTTTTTGAGGAAGCATTTTTCCTCAAAGAACACAACAGTTTTGATAAATGAGCGTGGTTATCTTTTCTGTTCTCCGGTAAAATCATTAGCCAGAAATTTTTCTGATCAGATTCACCATGCAATTCTGTTAATATAAGATAGGAATAAATAGGCAAGCTCAGAGGACAGCAGCGCTGTTCTTTCCACAGCAGCACTAGCTTTCACTGGTTTGAAGTACTCAGTTACAGCCACGCACTCAGAAACACATGATATGAGCCACTGCAAGAGACAGGCTACTAGCCTGGACTGACAATTGACCCGATTCAATAGAACAATTTATTTTGTTAGTTAAATCAAAGCTGAAGCTCTGACAGATTAAAAAAAAAACAAACATGGGCAAAACCTTGGTTCTCCTTAAGTCAATAAAAGTTTTTCTATTCCCCGCAGCTAGAACTTCTTACAAGATTATCTGGCTCCGAGAAAACTATTGTGTCAAAAATGCACAAATAATATAGCTATTGTTAAGGACAGTAAGAGAACTGTCTTTACTAGTTTAGTTTATATTTAATCTAACTGTAGCCACATATACCTGTGCTGAAATATTTACCACTTCTCTCCTACCAAGAGACTGGAAGGGTTTTTTTCCCCCTCTTTCGCCTTATTCTGTGAAGTCCTTTAAATCGCATCTCTCAGGATTACAGTAACAGCTGGCACCTGTAAAAGGACTGGAATTTAATCACCAAAAAAGCACATATAAGCTCATATGAATCTTTAAACAAAGAGACTCAAAGAATAAATTTTACAGCAGATGCTCCCAGTGCAAACAGCACCAGCAATGCCAAAGAGGAATTTTAATGAAAAAATACAATACTCCAACAGTTACTCATCGACATAACATTTTACGACACAATAGAAGAAACAGATAAGATGATACAAAAACAAAATACTTAAAAGTTCTTGTTAAATATGTGTTAAAATCTGTCATCGAAAACAGCAGTGCAAATAAATAAGAAGCTTAAAATAAATCGTTTTAAAGTTATAGAATCTGTAAAAACACATAGTTCTCATCATCAGCCAGATAAAGTTTACACCAACTGAGGAAAACTATGATAACAAACCACCGTTAGCCCCTATTCTCCAGAGCAGAAAACTTCTAGTATAAGACTCCTGTCTAGAAGGATGAAAGACAAGCTATGACAGAAATGGCCTTCAAAGGAAATCACAGTTGTAACTGCAGGCAAAAATTGTTGCTGTTGCTTACAGCATTATTCAAAGAATGCACAGGGCCATGTCTGCATGACTGTCTAAAGCAAAACCTGACCTCAGTCATGTTGTTTTACCCAGATATAGCTCTCCAAAATTGTTATTTTATCTAATACATATGCTTATGTAAATAGGACTGCTCTTAATTCCTGGCTGTCAGGACCAGTCAGGTATCTTCCCCTGTCATTGCATCAGAATATATCATATACAATATAAATAATATATATGTAAATAAAGAGTACATCCCAAACCAGCATCAGAATACCTTATCCAATGGGAATTTCTGAACATTAGAGAAGGATCAGATTACTTCCAATTTATACAAGGATAATTTAGACTAAGTTTTCATTTACAATGAAGTGTAAAGTAGCAAAGCAAGAAAATCTTAAAATTTACTGCCAAGGGAGCACCAAGGTCCGTTAGGTGAGGCAAGGGATGACAGAAGAGAGCACTGACATTTCACAGGCTGTTAAAGGATCCAACCTAACCTCACCTGCAGTTGCAAATTATGTATTTCAAAGCCTCATTTATGGGATCAGATCACAGTGTACAATTCTAGATCACAGTTTTTCCCCAGCCCCACTTGTAAGCACCCTTTTACAACTTTTCAGTTTGACCCACTGAGAGAAAAAAACGTTTAGAATTTATATAGATTTCAACCCCACAATTTACTGTTAAGCCTAAAAATAACAGAACACTGACCCTGTTCTTAGACAGTAATTAATCCACTTTGAAGATGATGAAGAGACAGAAAAATTTGTGCATGTCTTCAAAGAAGTGTCTGGTCAAAAGACCGTGATATTCAGTTGAAAGGCTTCTGTAGAGTCCCAACAGGCTCTGGATCTGGCCTTTATATCCTTCCAGAAAATGGCAACATCACACTTTCAACCTGTAAGTCACATACGCAAGCATGACTGTTAAGATAAACTCAGTGTTTACTCTATAGATCACACCTCCAGCACCTGCATGCTTGTACAGTACAACTTCTGCATTCTTCAGCAGAACAATGCAGTTTACAGGGCAGTACGCTGACCTTTAAATTTGTACCCAAGAATTAACCTGTAGAAACAGCACATTAATTATGCATGCATTGTTAATTTCTAATATGTTTCCTGTTAACAAAATCTGACCATGCATGCAAGGTTTAAATCTTAATCTTTTCAGAGTCAAATTCTGGGTCTTTCACTTTTTTTTTTTTTTCCAAAATATAATTGCATCTCAGTCCACATTTGTCCTGAACTCAGACCTGAAGCTCCTCTGTCCTCAGAGCTGCAAAGAGCAGATCTTACAATGTTAGACCCATGCCAGTTTTTCCAAGTTGTCCAAAAAAAGTGTGCACTCTCTCCATAGTTCCCATCTTCTGGCATTCAGCTCTGTATGGTTGAGCAGCGTGCCAGCATCCAAACACAAAATAAACAAAGCAAGCAATAGTTGTTTGGTTTACCTAAAGCAGAGGGCAAACAAGCCCCAAATTAGCTTAGGAAGAATTTTTTTTTTTCCTGGAAATCATACAGTAATATTGTTTTCCAAAGTTTTACTCCTCATCCTTATAAAATATATTACATTTTCTCAACATTATCCCACCATTATAATAATCCACAAAATACTTTTCCCCTCATTTCAGCATGCAAAGTAGAAAAGTATTTTAAACAGCTTATTGAAAGTTATCATATAAAGAGAATGCTTTTTCCATTCTCAAAACCTTTGTGATGCTACTGTCCATTTCCTAATGCAGAATGCACAGTAAGCTCAGAGCTGAATAAGGCAAGGTGCCTTTTCAAATTCCTTTTTGAAGCTGGCTGATCACAGAACTTGACCTCAATGTTGCCATCACTGAATGCGTCCCTCCTGGCTTCGTCCAAGTCAATGGGATCTCTTTGGGAAACACTTGCCTTTTGCCGCCTCATAGTAATCCCTGAATTCCCAAGTTGCCTGGCTGGTGATGCATTTTCTTTGACAACGCAGAAGCAGATGGCAGACAGAAAATTTTTCTTGAAGTTTTCATTCATGAAAGCATACACAATAGGGTTGCAAATAGAATTGAAGAATCCTATAATCTGGACGATTGCAAAGATCATTTTGACTGTCACATCATCATACTCCTTTTCAAAATTACCTGGAAAGGAAAAAGGAAATATGCTGTAAGCATGGAATGGCATAAATGCCTACTACTTATGCCTAATTATATCCAGTCTGGCATTAGAAGTTTTTGTTTAAAAATCAACAAAAGACCTTGCTGGAGGTTCTTAGTATTAGCAATAGGGTTCGGTTTGATCAGCAAGGAAAGATCAAGATCTACCACATAGCCCTGCCTTGTGTATATGTAAATAAGGACAGAGTCATTCAAAAAAGGCAATTTATGAGCCAAAAAACCTGCCCAATGGCCAAGCAACAGAGAGCTTCCAGCCTGCTAAGTACTGGCCTTGTTTATTCAAGTTGTTCTTCTGGCTCTGAGTTTCACGTCCATATCAAATGTGTAAGTACTTTAACACCAATCCCTGTCTTGTCACTGACCACGCACGGCTTTCTTCTCTGTGCTGACACAGATCAGCCCATGGAGGTAAAAATGCATTGTCTTGGTCACATCTCTCACTTTTTAATCATTGCTATCACAGAGGACTGAATTCCTTGAATTCAAATACTCAGCAATCAGACTCTGGATAAATACTACAAAGGTTTATATGGCAAGTAAAATAAAGGCCTTGCAGCACCTGAAATAATTCCTGAAATTAGCAATTAAAAGAGAGCAAACAGTTCATGGAGCATTATGGGCAACCTTAACATGGGACAACCCAGACAATTTTAATAGTTACAGCTTCTGCACTTCTGATTCTGCCCAGGCATAAACATCCTTTGGGTCAGCTGACTGGCTGCAGGGCTACTGATTTATCTGCTACAACCTCATTTGTGACAGAAGACAAAGAAACAGCTGCTGCCTCTGGCAAGTAGAGTACAAAAACTACTGAAAAATTCCTCCTGTTCCTATACATAGCCTGCCGCACAGTCCCACGTGCTATACCAGTACCCATGTAGGAGATGGGACATGAACAGTGCAGGACCCCAGAGAATAGGGCAAATAGCAAAAAGCAAAGATAACAATCATTGAGGGCATTTCCAAGCCAGTATCCAGTTAAGACCATTGAAAGTTCTACTGGTTCACTGGGCATTACCACTATTTATATTTCCAACATGCCTACCTTGTGAAAACCAGGGCAAGTGAAGGGATAAATATTTCCTAACAGTTTAACTCAAAGCAGTAAGACAACTTAAGTGGATGCAAATAGAAATCTTCACACATTAAATTAATATTAAATTTGAATTAAAAAGTTACTTGTTCAAGAGTTTTTATACTTGGAAATAACTTTTACCTTCCAGCCAGGTACTTTTGACCTTTCAGCAAATGAGGGTAGCATGACAGACATGGAAAGAAAAAGAATCCACAGAGATGTATGCTCACCATCCTAATAGTCACGTCTTGCTTTTTCTTGAGTCTTGTAAGGCCTAGCAAACATCCTTTTCAGGACTGGATTATATGCTGTACAAATCCAGAAGCAAAGGATCTCCTTTCTAAAGAGCCTACATTCTAAAGGAGCCTGTAAAGAGTTTGGGTTCCCTCCTACCCACCCTGCAACAAAGTTCAGTAGGGCTTACAGCAAGGCACAAAGTTGGGGGTTTTGGGGGTTTTGTTTGTTTGTTTTTAATTCACACAGCAGGGAAGAAGAGAGGTGGCTGACACACAAGTTTCTCTCAGCTATAAGGTATCTCCCAAACACTACATTAAAGGTCCTTTCCAACCTAAATAATTCTATGATAATAGGTTTTTTGAAATGTACTCATTTTGTATGAGCACTGCAGATCTGTCTGTCCCTTGTAGACTTCAGAGTAATTCATCTGTTGTTAGCTATGTATGTCTATTACAAGACAGTAATCCAGGATTTATAGGCACAACATTAAGCTTTGCTAGCAGAAGGCATTCTATAGCTGAATGCTACAGCAGCACTAGCTTTTCACAACCTGTAGTTCCATTATCAAAAAACCAAATAAAACCAACCAAATAAAAAAAACTTAGAAAGGTTTTATTGTATGACACATGGCAGATACTCACTGTATTCTATCATCATGTGAATCACATGGAAAGGGGCCCAACAGACTGCAAAGAGAAACACCACTGTGACCATCATTACAATTGCTCGCTTCTTCTTCCTGAAATTGCATCAAGACATTCCATACTGAATCACTAAGAATTGACTGGTAGTTAGATGTGTCTCTTCAAGTTAGATCTGTAAACGTGTTCTGATGGTTGCTGATGCAAATAAAACCCTGGAAGAATGCTCAGAAGTACACAATACCCTTTGGAACAAGAAATGCAGCATCATATAAATCCAGCACATCAATTAACACCTTTTATTTCTCTCTTTTGGGAAAGCAATGCACTTTGCAGTTGCAGCAAGCAATGACATTAGCATATCTTGCAAGCCATTTTCACTCTATTCTAGCAAATGCAATTCCAATAGTAAGAGACGGAGGGGGGAAAAACCACATGAAATTCCATTAATAGCTCAAAAACCAAGAGTCCCTTCCTAGATCTGGCTGCACTGACTGTACCTGCAGCAGCTGATTACACAGAGGATTTAACAGTGAGTAGGTGAAACTACACCTGCAACATTCAACCTTTGCCAGCAAGTGAAGTGCTAGAATAAGAGCAAGCAACACACTCACTGCCTCCACTGTAATATCTCACAAACTCAAGGTACACATGAATTTATTGTCATCCTCAAATTGATATATATAATTCATATAACTACATTTAGAGATCCCAAGACGGATCTCTCATTTGAGCTAAAGAAGCAGCAATTCACTGGAAGCAGTTACAGGATCTTCTCCCCAGTGTGAAAATAAACTGAAGAGTAGCCTAAAGATGACATGTCACCTTAACTCCTGTGAGATTGCACCCTCTTTCAGTTTTGACTTACAGGGGTCTGCCTCCTTAGGCATACTGTTAGACAAATATCTAAGGAATCATTTATCTTTTAAGCTTCTTGTCAGTATTGTCCTTACAGTTGATACTTAAGGTGATGCTCTCCTCAATGAGCAGAACTGTTAAGAGGTTTGTAGCACATCAGGCAACAGATCAATTTGCCAAATGAAAGGAAAAATCATGAGGCAATATTAGGAGTAGCCCGTATTTAGTGCTAAATAGCAAAGTTGATAATTATTTTCATAGGTTTTCAGATAGAGCATTACCATCTGGATAGGCTCACACAAACACATCTGAGAACACTCAAAATTCTTGGGAAGCTACATCAAGTTAAACTGTACCGAAGTATTTAAATGAATTCTGATTTTTTCCCATTTGCCCATTTAACTTCTAACAGGATGTCCTGGTTTCAGCTGGGATGTAGTTAACTGTCTTCCTAGTAGCTGGTACAGTGCTATGTTTTGAGTTCAGTATGTGAAGAATGTTGATAACACTGACGTTTTCAGTTGTTGCTCAGTAGTGTTTAGACTACAGTCAAGGATTTTTCAGCTTCTCATGCCCAGCCAGGGCACCTGACCCAAACTGGCCAACAGTGTATTCCATACCATGGGACGTCCCATCTAGTTTAGGAACTGGGAAGTGGGGGGGCGGGGAATCGCCGCTCGGGGACTGGCTGGGTGTCGGTCAGCGGGTGGTGAGCAATTGCCCTGCGCATCATTTGTACATTCCAATCCTTTTATTACTACTGTCGTCATTTTATTAGTGTTATCATTATCATTATTAGTGTCTTCTTTTCTGTTCTATTAAATCGTTCTTATCTCAACCCAGGAGTTTTACTTCTTTTCCTGATTTTCTCCCCCATCCCACTGGATGGGAGGGGAGTGAGTGAGCGGCTGCATGGTGCTTAGTTGCTGGCTGGGGTTAAACCACGACACAGGATCATAAAGCAGTGTTCACAGTCTCAGAATTATATAAAGAACTTTCCATAGAACATACGGAAACAATGTAGCAGCATTTTCCCCAAGTCATCTTCTAACTCATGGCCTACATCTTTTAAAAACAAGCATTTCACAACTTATAATATGAGATTTATTGAAAGGGCTTGACTTCAAAGGTATGGCTATACTATAATTTGAAGAAAAAAAAAATCTGTTTAAGTTGCCTTAAATTGGGTATCTAAGTGTTAAATAACTAGCTAGCTTTAAAAATCTGGTCTATGCTTGTAGACTTCCCAATGGATAAGGAAAGACAAGTTTACTTTTTTTTGCATTGGTTTTCAAGAACTGTCGGGGGGGAAAAAAAAGCTTTCTAGCAGTCAAAGTTCCAACTGTATTTTACTTTACAAACCTTGGTATTTTAGACATTTCACTCCCATGAATGGTTTGAAGAACTGAAGCATCTCCCACTCGTTTCTTAATCCACAGTTCATAGCCAATTTTAGTGTACAAAAAAAGCATCAACATCAGTGGAAGAAGGAAGAGTATAACAAGAATAAAGGTCGTATATATCTTCTGATAAATCGGACTGGCCCATTCTTCCAAGCAACAAACATACACTTTTTCATATAAAAAGTCATATTTAACCTGTAACGAGTGTAAAGGAGATGAGTCACTACAGCGTTTACCCCATGCGTAAAAACCAAGCACATTCAAATATTCCTTGCTCTTAATACAATAACCAAAATTCAACAGAGAAACTTTTCAAAGTGACAAAATTCTTCCAAGCACTTTTCCACATCAAGTGTTGAGTTGATCCAAGCTGACAAAGAGACATCAGGAGATGCTCTGATCTGCACTCCTCCTCAGAATTTTTTTTTTTTAACAAGCTTTTTCAAAGGAAACCTTGGCTAAGTAAAGATGGGCATATAGAAACCTTGCATATTAGTCACTTAAACAAAACAAACAAACAAACAAAAGACTGTTAACATTCAGACTCACAAGCGGCAGATTCTGACAAGCTTTTTTTTTTTTTTTTTTATTTCCTCCAAAAGTGTACAGTAACTCCTTAAACTATAATAGGCAGCTAATTACATTTTAAACTAGGCACAGTTCTTCCAAATTTATGTCACCCTGAAACAGTCATCTAAGCCCTACACTGCTGTGTGCCAGTGTACCTATAAACCAAAAGGAAACCACTGTGGAAGTGAGATGTAATTGCTGCTCTTTGACATAACAGGGGAGGGTAGACATGACTAGTCCCTGTTGGTAGTCCTTCCAGTGCATGCAAATCCTAATCCTTAGTTTTTCTTATGCTGGCACACACAACAAAAGGTCCACTTCTCTTATCCCGCTCTCATTTCTTACAAGTTTATTCAATTCATTGCTAAAGGTACAAAAAGATCCAGCAAGGACTGAGTTTAAAATGTAAATTCCCATTTAACCTAACATACCTCAAGCCGTTGCACGTGCCACACAGGTGACCCAACAATAAGTGCCAGCAACCAGACTATGCCTGTAAACAAATACATTTTTTTAACAATTTGTACAAGCAGAGTTAAGTTTTGATATGAACAGTTTAACAGCTTCATCTTTAAAAAGTCAGGCAAAGTAGACAATTTAAATAAAGAACGAAGTTTTCTATATGAGACATATATCAGTCAACATTCACATCAATAACAGCATGCTCTTTTGTAATCAGTTTTCTTTCTCTCAAACTACCCTCATTTATTGGTATTCAAGTGTAAAGGCAACTCAATTTGCATGACCAGCATTATCTATGTTTTCTTTGTGTTACAATGGAAGGACCATTTACAGGTGAGACATTGCTTTACTAGCGCTTGTATATTTTGAACCTTTCTTTAAAAAAAAAAAAAAAAAAAAAAAGGCCTGCCAAAGGTTTATCAGGGTCTTGGTTAAGTAAATCTTTGACTTCTGAGCTATTCTATAAATATTACCAGACTTATTAATTCTACCTCTGAATCATTGGTCATATCAGTGCCTTCTGTTCTGACACGCCATCTACACTGAAGATTATTTCTCGATACACACAATTACTCGAGATGCCTAAAATCTTACCAAGCATCGTGAAAGCTCTTTTATTGGTGTACTGCCACTTCATTTTTAGTGGATGCACAATTCCTTGATGTCTTTCCACAGCAATGCAGGTCATTGTAAGAATCTCAGTTACAATAGCAGTGGATTGAACAAACGGTACCATCTTGCAAGCGAAGGCACCTGCAATAGTCAGAAAGTAAGGTATTCAACTGCCGTAGTTCATGAAAGAGCTACCAATAATAGACTTTATTACTAAAGGGCTATTGTGCAAAAAGAACAGGCTAATATTCTTAGATTTATTTCAACAGCTAAACTGTTAAGTCACCTATTCAAGCTATTCATCAAATGCAGCTTTCAACAGTCATTCTTCTGTCATACACACTACATCTGCAAAACCAAGATTTCTAAGGATATATTCACTTGCTCTGTATCAGTCTGACACTTATTCCTATTTCACTTTTGACCAAGTCTTCCACCACCTGTTTTCAAATATGCCAAGTTAGAGGGATATTTATTATCTTCTTATCTTGGCAGATTACTCTCTGGTTTTAGGAAAGTCTTAGTGTTACCTGTTAGTGTTCACCTTTTCTGCTGTTGCAAATACATTCCTTTGGCTCATTTAAATGCCACTCTATTTGTATACTTTGTCACTTAATGCATCATTCTGCCAAGTGAGATAGATAGATATAGATATAGAGAGATATATAGATACATATATATGAGTCCTCTAAGAGGCATAAGAGGAGAAAATCAACCTCATCACCTTTCCATTCTTCAAGTCTCCCTCTTTCCTGATTAACACATTATGTTAATGACACTGTCCAAATTAAATGCAATTTTCTGCCTTCATTTTCACAGTTGTATAAGTTCCCATTATTTATGCACAACTACCACAGATGTTCAGATTTCATTACTGCTATAGCTTCCCAAAAGTACATATTCAGTTCTTAACACATTAGTCATTTTCCATTACTCATCCTCAAATCCCAAGCATCTTAGAAACTGGTGTAAATTATTCTCTCAAAAATCTTATGTTAACACCTTTCCCAACCTACTTCTTATTTACTCATTTTCTGACCCTGACATAATTTTGTATGTCTGCATTCTCATAGTTACCTCACATTCTTAGTTCAGTATCAGCTACTCATTTCAGCAACAGCTGGGGTTATTTCCCTTACTTGATTATGAATTATACCTTACCCAGATATAATCCATAAACTCAAAATAGCCAAAGGAATATTTGATCCAGTTTTAAGTCAAGCTTTAAGATGCTACAGACACCTTAAGCAACAAAAGCATCGAAAACAGAAAGAAAACAAACAGGAAAGTTAATCTTGCCCTCCACGAAGGGAACAATGAAAAGGGAAGCTTCTGTCTGCTAGGCCAGGCCAAAAGCCACTGTAGCTTACAAGAAGGAACTCGTTTGCTACTGGTCTTATCAATTCTAGCTGCCAAAAAAATCACTACTTCTGTGGCTTCAAAAAGGGAAGGAGAGGGCAAGGGGCAAAGGATGGAAGTCAAGTACCTTCCAAGTACATCTTCAACACCAGCAACACCGTGAATGTGCACACAGATCTGGCTTAAAACAGAATAAAAATATACCATGCAGCCCAATTTCAAGCTACTTGAATGAAATCTTAGCATGGTCAGTAGGAACTGCATGGAAGAAGATGCACTGGGCTGAAAGTCTGTTTCTCACCTAGTATGTATTTTTCCAGGGTGTCAGAAAAGCAAGACAAGACATCTTGACATCTTGTATCAACTGCAATTTATACAATAAAATTCCCCCCACTTCTTCCTTGGCTTCAGTAAGCACAAAGTAAAACCCTTACAAAACACGGCCAATATCTTATTAATTCAGCATCTCACCACTTTCTCACTACACTCAGTACCGTATGTGCTACACATACAAGCACAAGACTCACTCAGTCAAATTTATAGTCCTTCAACCAGTGTGTTGAAACTTCTGTAGTGATATAAAAAAAGCAAGCTCAGATCATACCTTCTTTGCACATGACAAATGGTGAATACAACCAAAGAGGCTATGGCGCACAATCTCTGTCCACTTCCGAAAATCAGCTTACTGCCATGAGTAAAGCAGAGCTAAAACAATCTTCAGCCAAACCCAAATCCTACTTCTTTGAATCAAAAGGAGAGTTTCCACTATTGGTTTCAAGTTCTTTCTTCACTGGTTAAGTTAGAAGTGACTCCTGATACAAATAACATGAACAGAAAAGCAAAGTTTGATGGAAAACAAAAACCAAAAGGATGTTTTTCAATAGATACGGTTGCTGGAAACAGAAATACCTGCTCTGAGGCACATAGTACACATTTTGGATCCTTGGTGGACTTGGTGACCAAAGAAAAAAAGCCGCATGCATTTTTCTACCCAAGAAATAACATGAAATTTTCAAAAGGACAGTAACTAAAAGCTACTCAAAAAGCCTCTATTTATCAACAGTAAAAATAGAACAGTATTTCAACCTCCCTGAAGCTCCTCATGCCACCAAGTCCAGGGTCTCTGACTATCAACTTGTATTAACATTACCATATTGCATTAGGGCTCTTTTGCTTGCCCTGGATTGTCACTCACTATACAAATTCTTCCTGTCTTCTGAAATCATGAGACACTCTAGGGTTTCAAATGCAACACTTCACCAACGTTAAATGACTGTTTAGCAAGGAAATCAACTCTCACTTGCTTGAGTGTTTGAAACAGGTATGTTTGGGCAGAAAAAAAGACAGACAGTGTTTAGAATGTCATGGCCAAAAGAAGTCATCAACTTCAATGGAAATCTGACGCCAACAGATTAGAGATCCAGCTCCACCATCCTTAATGTGTTTGAATGGGATTCAATCCTGAGATACCAGGGGTCATTGTACTTGACAGAATAGGGAATATTTTCCACATAAAGCCTTTTCTTAGGTTTTCAAAACTTTCATTATTTTATTTATAATTAAATAATTTGTACACATGGAAAATGAGAATCATTTATTGTTAAATAAGGTAACTATTTCAGAATGGTGGCAGTTGGGCTGGGGTGGTATAGAGAAAGGAAGAAGACAACCTGGAACTATTATTTGAGAATACTAAAAAGCTCAGAGTGATCACACTGGTTATTCCAGGAATATTCTGAAACAGAATATCTATATGGAAATTAACTCTTCAGTAGATCTTTTCAAAACACTTTCTCCAAGTCCACAAGCCCTAAATCACATTCTTTCCCAACAGAAAGCTTGTTGTCGTTGAGTTGGAATTAGATTACTGAAAGGACTTCAGAAGTCCTTTATGGAAGTCCAATCACCATTTTATTCTTCGGGATTTACATGCCTAATGTCCAAAGTGTTGATTCTGTTGCCCTATTCCTTCAGACACCTCTGGCTACAGGTTCCCAGCACGGCCTCGCAGAGTTGTCTCAGTCAGTCTTGACAAGCATAGAAGAGAATTAGAGAACCATGGAATAATGCTGGTTGGAAACAAACTCAGGTGGTCTCTCATCTGACATCATGGCTCACAGCAGGATCAGCAATCAAGCCAGACCAAGCCAGATGCAGCCCAGAGGATTCAGGTACTGAAAATCTCCAAGGCTGAAGACAGCAGAGCCTTCCCTGGGTCAACCTCTTTCTCTGCTTAACTGTCCTCACATGGAAAAAGATTTTCCTTATATCCTGTCTGACCTTCCTGTTTCAGTTGAAGCCTTTTGCCTCTCATCCTTCTGCCATGCGCTGCTCTGAAAAGCCTGGGTCCATCTTCTTGATAACTTACTTGTATGCACTGCAAAATGCTGCTAGGTTGCCCCAAAACTGTTGCTTCTCCAGACTGAACAAGCTCCAGTCCCTCAGCTTTTCCACCCATACAGGGCAGCTGCTCCCACCCCTGATGTCAGGGCAGTCCTCTGCTGAACTCATACCAGTTTATCAATATCTTTCTTGTACTGTGTGTCCAAAACTGGACACAGTATTCTGGGCCCTAAACACAGCCTTGCCTGTGAGACTCGATTTAACAGCTGAGGTAGGTTTTACTGGATCTGAGCCTTCCTAAAACACAGCTGATGCACTACTTCTTTCCCTTAAATTGACTGAATGCTGTAATCACTGAACAAGGGAAGTGTGGAAAAGGGGGCCATAAATCCTGGCTCTACAACCTCAAGGAGGAAGCCTTACCACTAGGGTCCCACCTTCAGGACCTCCCCCTGAAATGGACCATCTTACAAGAATACTTAGGGATTTTCACAGCCAGAAAAAAAACCAAAATACCTGCAAACTTGCATAGTCACTATTAGGGAAACAGGTACTGAGGTCTAGTCCCTGATCCAATAATGCATGCACATTTCACTTAGTATTTAACCCATTTGTGTAAAACAAGCTTCACCTGGAGCAAGAAGAAACTGATGCAACCCCATTCTCAAATGCCTTTTAGTTTAAAGTCCCTTCTGGAAAAATTGAGAAAAAAAGCCAATTTTTACTGTAAGGAAGACATATTAGATTTCAGGGGAAAAACCCAAATTATGCTACTACATCATAGTTTAGACCGTGAAATTAAAATAAGACTGAGACAGGCAAAAAACAACTGTGTGAAACACTGTGATATATTAAAAACATGTCAAGCTAGTTTTCATGTTTGTGTTCAGACTTATCACAGAGTAACAGAAGATTTAAAGGGAGGTACTAGTTTACACCTTATTTCTTATCAAACTGATAAAAATGTAGCTGTTTAGAAGATGGTTTGGAGATAATATGGTTTAACAGCCAGTATTATTCAAGTCTTCTTTCCATTCATTAACATGACTGCTAGATATTTTAGTTATTTGTATCAAGTACTATGTCCTTGTCATGATACACTCACCTATAATAAATCAACATTGGATTAAGAATACAGTGAAGTTTTGTATCTCCCAACCAATCTGAAAATAAGACTGGATTTTCATTTTATCTTCATGATAAAGGCACTTGAATGGCTTTATTTTATAATTTATTTCTTTTTAAACAACATATTCTTCAAAACATAATTTCAGATCCTATCTAAAGAGAACAACTAGTGAAAGAGTTACATACAAAAGTAAAGAACAAAAGCCCACTTCAGTGAGTTTCAGTCAAGATTATTTAAATCTCACTCTTTATAGTGTTTTTGGAGTTATTAAACAAATCAGCACTTGGATAAAGGAAGCATTCGCCAAAGA